GAGGAGGAGGAGGAGGAGGCGGAGAAGGAGGAGGAGGCGGAGGAGGAGGGGGAGGAGGAGGAGGAGGAGGAGGAGGAGGAGGAGGAGGAGGAGGAGGAGGAGGAGAGGAAGAGGGGGAGGGGGACAAGCTAGGCGCGCTCGCGTCACATCTGACATCCTACCCTCCCTCCCATCCCTTACCATGGCGCGGTTCCCCTTTCTACTCGCACAGTCGGATGTCAAGCAGGGCGATGATCCCGAAAGGGTACGCGATGCATTGTAGAGCACGGCGTGGCATGGCGTAAAAAAGCACCGCGAAGCGCAGTATCAACGTAGCATTGCATTGCATGCCGTGGCATGGCACGGGAAATGACGCCACCTCTGCAGCGGGAGCACGAATCGAAACGAGCGGAAGCGCGGAAATGAGGCCAACGCTGCAGCGGGAGCACGATTCGAAACGAGCGGAAGCACGGAAATGAGGCCAGCGCTGCAGCGAGAGCACGATTCGGAACGAGCGGGGCCCGATAATGAAGCCGGTGCCTTAGCGAGAGCAGCATTTTGGGAAAAATTGCAAGCGAAAACCTAACTCCGGGGAAGGCTTCCTGGGCGCCAGAAGCAGAAATTCAGCATGTTCAAAAGTAAAAATTGTATCGGAATGGCCTTTTTGTCGGCGCCGCCTCGGAACTCGATTTTCGGGGCGCCGGCTCGGGAGTCCGGCCTGGGCGCCGGCTCGAGCGCCGGCCTGGGCGTCGGAATCGGCCCAGGAGGCCTCCCTCCCGGGCGCCGGAAGCAAAAATTCAGCATTTTCAAAAGAAAAATGTGTATACAATGGCCTTTTTCCGGCGCCGCCTCGGAACTCGATTTTCCAGCGCCGGCCGGAACCGGCTCCGGACCCGGCCCGAGCGCCGGCCCGGGCGCCGGCTCGGGCGTGCAGCCCGGGCGCCGGCGGAAATGATGCCAGCGCTGCAGCGGGAGCACGATTCGGAACGAACGGGGCCCGAAAATGATGCCGGCGCCTCAGCGAGAGAAGCATTTTGGAAACAAATGCAGGCGAAAACCCAACTCCAGGGAAACGTGTGTGTAAAAAACAATACGCGGGGGGGGGGGCGAATATTCCCAAGACGTCGTCAGGGGAAGAGGGAGAGTAGTATTCATGTTGAGTAATAAATGTGGAGGAGGAGGAGGAAAAGGAGGAGGAGGAGGAGGAGGAGGAGGAGAGGAAGAGGCGGAGGAGGAGGAGGAGGAAGAGGAGGAGGAAGAGGAAGAGGAGGGGGAGGAGGAGGAGGAGGAGACGGAAAAGGAGGAGGCGGATGCGAAGGCGGAGGAGGAAACCGGGCGCCTTCTGGGAAGGTCTGCCCCCTTTCACTTCCCCCCTGGCCCCCAGAGACCCCGACCACTTCGCAAGACATGGTTGTTCCAGCCGCGCCACGTAATTACCTCCACCGCCGCGTGGGCAGAGGGGTCCAGATGCGAGAGTGCCTGAAAGGATGGTGCTCGGCCAGTGCGCCCTGGCGATGTCAGGAGAGCCATAATCGAATCGATACGACGGATCGGCGATCGAAGTGACTCGGATCGGCGGAAATCGGCAGCCAACTCAGGAGAAGCCGTATCGGCGGAAATCGGCAGGCCTTTTGGGGCCTCTGTACAGAAAGGAACAACGGCATAATCGGGTCGGGCGAAAGGGGGGGATAGCAAAGGGGGGGGTGAGAATCAGCTCACGTAGCTGATTTTCCCGGCGCCTCTCGGCGCCGGGAGGCGGCTATGTATCGAGGAATGGGCCCCTCGATGAGGCCGAAACCAGCTGCATGCAGCAAATTTCGTAACCCCCCCTTTCCCAATCCCCCCCTTTCGCCCGGCCCGACATAAACTGTTGGCGCTCCGCGCGGATTTCTTAGACCTGCGCTGGAGCCCCCTCCCTGGCGCGCGCGGCGCGCCAGGAGCGGCGGCCGAGGCGCCGCCCGGGGGGGCCCAGCGCGGATCCAAGAAATCCGCGCGGAGCACCAACAAAAAACGTGCTTTCCTGTTCGTGGCGCTCTTTTTCCTCGTCGACGCGGGTGGGAAATCAGCATCCACATGGGTATCCGAAGTCGGATCGGAGCCGGAAGCCATCGAGTCGAGCCCTGCGACGTGCGCCACCCCATCGGCGCGCGGCCGACAGCAAGAGCCACGGGGGGGGACGACGGCGCCGGCGACCTGCAGACACAGCGACGGGGAGCTCCCGCGGGCCGCGGGAGAGGGCGGCGGGGTCTGGACCCGTCGGTCGGAAGAGGTGGGCAGAAACTGAAAGGGGCCATGGGACACACAAATCAATAGACACAAAGTCGCCGGCCCAACGGGCCAGAGGCGCGCTAAGATCTTCGGCAACTGGTTAACAATTCTTTCTAGTTCGCGCGCGCGGAGCGGCCCCTGGGGGCCCCCGGACGAAAAGTACCCCGGCAACTAGCCGGGAGAAGCCCCCAGAGCACTGCAGGGGAGGGCCATTTTGCGACACCCCTCACGAGGATCGTGGCCTCCGAGGGGGGAGCCGCAATCGACTACCCCCCCTCCCGCCCCAAGAGGCTCCCAAAAGCCGCCCAAGAGGCCCTGGGGGCCCCCAAGAGGCCCTGGGGGCCCCCAAGAGCCTAAAGGGCTCCTGGGCCGGAGGAATGAGCGAAGCGATTAAAGAACAGGATTCCCCCTCTTTTCAATCTTTTCGGGGTTTTCGTCTTCCACCCCCCCCACTTCCCATATTTGCCCATATCCTCCTGGGCATCGACGACTCATTGTCATTGTGTCTCTGTGTGTTTGTTCCCCCCTCCTGCACGGAACAGGAAGGCCTTGGGCGCAGGTGGGGTCTCCGGCCGCCCCCCCGGGAGAGGGGGGGGAGGGGGGGCCGCCACGCTGGACCCGAAAGCAGACGACATCACCCCGCCCATCAAGGCCGCCCCACGAGGGCTCCAAGAGGAGCCCCGAGACGGCCCAGAGAGGAACAAATCCGTGACATGCCATACTCGAAGGTTTTTGGCCTACTCGCATGGGCCTCCCCTGTATAGATTTCAGTTGGGCGTGTCCCCCCCCCTACAGGGCTCCAAGCTTCGCGCTTCGCGCTGCGCGCAGCGCGAATCACTTCGCGCTCTCACGCCGCCCCCCCAAAGGGAGAAAAGGAGGACGGGGAGGAGGGGGAGGAGGAACGAGGGGGAGAAGGAACGAGGGGAGGGGGGCCGCCACGCTGGCCCCGAAAGCAGACGACATCACCCCGCCCATCGAGGCTGAAGCCTAAACTTCAGTCGGGCGTGTCCCCCTACAGGGGGGATTCTCGACGAAAAATAACAAATACTCCAAAAATGCCCCAAAGATGCCCAAAAATACAAAAAATAGTCCCCAGGCTATTTTTGACTATTTTTGAGCATTCCCCCTGTAGGGGGACAGGCCTGACTTAAACCTAACCGGTGGTATTAATGTTTCGTTTTGTTTTCGCTTTGCCTCGCTTTTGTCTCGAATCCGCCTTTACTGCAAAACGAAGTCGAAACGAAACGGCCCACGAAATCACCAAAAAACACCGTTGAGGTCCAGCCCTCCCATCCATGGCCCCACGGAGCCCAGCAGATCTGGCGTGGGCTTGCTCGTGGTGTACGCTGCGGCCCCCCGGGGGCCGCAGCGCGACGTGGAGGGCCGTAGGCGGGGTGGTGTCGCTTGCCTTTTGGTCGACCGTCGACTCATGGAGTAGTAGAGGCCTCCTGGATGGGGTCCGAGTAGATGTGGTCGGAGGATCGCGTCGCATCGCCAATGCATCGAGCCGCATCGTCGATGCATCAAGGATGCGGCGCGATCCTCCGACCCCATCTACTCCGACCCCATCTAGGAGGCCTAGGAGTAGGGAGGCGGCTGAAGTTGACTTGGAGCCGGGGGTAAACAGATACCGGCCTTCGACGAACGGCGCGCACACACATCCGCTGCCGCAGGCCCGGCCCATCCCGGGCCGAGGGATGCTCGTGCGCCTCCCTGGCAGAGCCCGAAAGCTGTGCGCACCGCTCCCGGGCCCAGGCGGGGCCAGGCCGGGGGGGGCAGTGGACGTGCGTGCCGGCGGGCGGGCGGGGGGGGGAAGTGAGGAGGAAGAGGCCCTCTCGGAAGGCGGCGCGACTTCTCGGAAGCCCTCCCGCCTTCTGAAAGGTGTTCGGCGCCCTCGGGGGAAGCCTGGAGAACTCCCGAAGACCGGGGAAATCTCCGAGCCTTCTGAGAAGGCCCGCCCCCTCTCACTTCCTCCCTGGGCTCGCCGCCGAGACATGGGGGCGAGTGGTGCCGCGTGTGATGTGGCAGCAACAAGCAGGCTCCTAGGAGGCTGCAGGAGAAAGACTGTGAGCAGCATCGGCGGGCTGGAACGCAAGCAGCGACAGATAGCGTGCCCCTCCATGGGACGCGCCGCCGCCGGCGGTGACACGCCTCCTCGGGAAAGGTGGAAGAGGGAGGAGTCGCCGCCGAGTACAGTAGAGGCCAATCCCCAAGAAACCTTCCACAAGAGACCCAACCCTGAGACCCCAGGACGTCCATTGATTTTTGGTGTGGGAGCGCGTTGCGATCTCCGCAACAAAACCATCGAAACCAAAGACACCTAGGGCACCCTGGAGGCCAGCTCCAAGCCGACGCCCCGCCCACTATGGCTTCCAGACGGTACGAGACGCCTCCAAGCCGCTCCACGAGGGCTCCAAAAGGAGCCCCGAGAAGGCCCAGAGAGGAGCAAATCCGTGACATGCCATACTCGAATGTTTTTAGCCCACTCGCATGGGCCTCCACTGTATAGTTGAAGGAGCCCTGGGACACACAAATAGATACACACAAATAACAGGATCCCCCATATTTTCCTATATTTTCTGGGTTTTCGTCCCCCCCCCACTTCCCATATGTTCCCCACATTTTTGTCTGGGGAATCGGCGATGAATGGTGCCTGTGTGTTTCTTCCCCCCCCCTGAATATTCGAAGGCTTTTAGCCTACTCTCCTGGGCCTCGCCACCGTATAGATCCCGCCGCCCAGCCGAGGGCCGCGCGTTGGGGTGCGCCAGGGGCGCGGACGGCACGCTCGCCGCCTCGAGGGGGCGGCCCGCGACCACGGCGACGACTGCGGCGGCGAGGAGCGGCGGCGGCGGCGGCGGGGGCTCCCGCGGCGGAGAGGCGCGGCGAGCGGCGGCGAGCGGCGGCGGCGACGACGCCGACGCCGACGCCGACGACGCCGACGCCGACGACGCCGACGCCGACGCCGACGCCGACGCCGACGCCGACGCCGACGACGACGCCGACGACGACGCCGACAACGCCGACGAGGTCGACGGCGTCAGGGGCGGCGACGAAGACGGCGGGGGGCACGACGGCGTCGTCGCTGCGCCCCCCGCCGCCTTGGTCGTCCTCCCGTCGCGGCAGGAGAAGGTCAGAAGAGTACTCCAGATTCCGTAACAATGGGAGGGGGGTCTCATTTCGGGGGGGTCTCTTCCAGGCTATCTTGGAGGGCCTGGGGGGGTTCTGGGGACGATGTTTTGGAGGGTTCTCCCACGGGGGGGGGTCTGAAATGGCTTGTCTTAGAGGATCCAGACCCTCTCCCTTTTATTACGAAATCTGGAGTATTGCCTCGCAGCGAAGCGTAGGCCCGTGGAGCTGCTTCTGGCCTGGGTTCGGTCGAAGGTGGGGGTCCATGGGCGGAGCTCGGCGGGATGGCACAAGAGGGGAGAGTGGAGGGGGGGGGAGCGGCGAGGGCAAGAATGGGGGATGAGGACGGTAAGAAGGATGAACAGCTGAGCAGGATGCGGAGGGAAAGAAGAGGTGAGAGGAGGGAGGGAGGCAGGGACATGGATGTATATATCTATACATAGTTATACACATGTATATACGCATGTATATGCTCCAATGTATGTGGGGAGGGAGAGAGTAGGGAGGAAGATGAGGGACAAATAATGGGCTACTTCTCAGACTGCGATGCTGTCTCGTATCCCCTCTTCTCTCGTCAGCCCATACTTCGAGCTCTCCGCCCCGCAACGGACAGACCGACTGGCCAAAGAAGACAAACAAGGAGGACATAGGGGACGAGGAAGACATATCAAAACATGCTGCTCCTCCTCCCCCTTCTCCTCCCCCCTAATCGTCCTCGTCCTCCTGTGCCTATCCCTCCAACCCCCTATCCCGCCAACCCCCTCCATTACCATCCATAAGACACGGAACCACGAAGCCGCATCCCCCCCGAAGCCTCGGACGGGTGGTAAGGGGGGACCTACTGGGTGTGATCAGAAAGGCTCTCAAGGGACCCTCTAGGGCAACTTTTGGACCCACTTACGGTCACGGTCCTATCCTCAGCGTGAACTCCAGATTTCGTAATACAGGGAGGGGGGTCTCATTTCGGGGGGGGGGTCTCTTCCAGGCTATCTTGGAGGGCCTGGGGGGTCTGGGGACGATGTTTTGGAGGGTTCTCCCACGGGGGAGGTCTGATATGGCTTGGCTTGGAGGGTCCAGACCCCCTCCCTTTTATTACGAAATCTGGAGTATGTGATCTCGGGCACTGCGAAACCGAAGCCGTTGACACGCTGAGCAGCGCAGGGGCGCACACCACGAAGTAGGGTCGGGCGAACCCGCCCTCTGACACACACGCAAGTACCAACCACGCAGGATACGCGCCGAGTGCGGAGCGCTTCGCACGTCTAGGCGCATTCCCGTCCACACGTTAAGAGTAAGACCATGACCGTAGGTCACCCCCATTACCGCCCGCCCGATCCTCGCCCTCCCTGCTCCGCCTAGGGGGAGGAGCAGGGGGGAGGAGGAGGAGGAGGAGGAGGAGGAGGAGGAGGAGGAGGAGGAGGAGGAGGAGGAGGAGGAGGAGGAGGAGGAGGCCTCCCACCCCCCTCTCCCGCAGCGCTTCTCGAACCGCTCCCAAACGCCTCCGCCAGCGCACGCCCGCGCCGCGCTTCCCGTGCCCACGCCCGAGCTCGACGGCCCCAAGGCGGGGGGGGAGGAAGGAGGCCGGACACCTCCTCCCTCCTCCTCGAGTCCTCCTCCCTCCTCCTCGAGTCCTCCTCCTCCCCTCGAGTCCCTCCTCCCTCCTCCTCGAGCCCACCCCCCTCCTCCTCCCTCCTCCTCCCCCCTCCCTCCCTCCTCCTCCTCCTCCTCCTCCTCCTCCTCCTCCCTCCTCCTCGACACCTCCTCCCTCCTCCTCGAGTCCTCCTCTCGTGGGAGTCGCAGGTCAGCTAGGACACGCCCCCGCGGATAGAGAGGAGAGGTCGCCGCGACGGGAGGCGACGGGAGGGCGGGGGCTCGGGTGTCAGCTGGGGCGTGAGCGCAGGCGGCTTGCCCGTCTCGTTCCCCCGCCCGCTCATCGCCCTCCCGACCTCCTCCTGTCTGAAGGGGCCCTGGGGCATGCAGAGAGAAAAGACACAGATCCCAGCAGTCCCCCTATCTTCCAGTATGTTCCATTACTTTCGTCTTCCCCTCCCCCCACACTTCCCATGTTTTCCCGTACTTCCCTGGGAGTCGACGATGACTTGTGTCTGTGTGTGTTTTTCTCTCTTCCTGACTGACTGTCTTTGGGTAACCCAAACAGGACCAGCTGAAAGGGAAGGGTGCAATAGATTTGGGGCAACTGTATTGCAAATGCATTGCGCCGAAGAATTGTGTAGCACTGTATTGCAAGTAATAGATTGCACGCGGAAGTACAGCAATACATTTGCGCCCCAGAATGTATTGCACGCCCCAGATGTAATGCAAGTCTACAAATCGATTGCACCTAATCTGTTGCGCCACCCCCTTGTCGCTGGACCCCCTTTGCGTCCACCCGACTGTCCCCCTCCCCCCGTCCCCCCTCCCCGCTATGCCCCGCCCTGCGCCCCCCTTCCGAGATGCCGACCTCTGGGGGGGCACAAGTCGGGCTGCTGGTGGCCGACAGTAGCGCGCCAGTGCTTCGAGGTTCGAACTTCGAGGTTCTAGGTTTTCGGGCGGTCTCGTCGTTCCTTGGCGGTTTTCCGCCCTCGGGATGCGTTCCAGCGGCTGCGCCTCGCCGAGAGCGTTTCGGGGATGCCCGGATCGTCCCGAACGGCCGCTGGAGACCCGAGTTATGACCCGAAAACTGATCTCGGCGGCGAGCGAGGGGGGGAAACGAGAAGGAGAAGGCCTTCACAGAAGGCGACGACGGGACTTCTCGGAAGTTCAGAAAACTCCTCAGAGGGCCGGGGGGCTTCCGAACCTTCTCGGATCAAAGCTCGGGTCGACAGCGGCTGGTCGGGAGGATGCAGGCATCCCGAGAACGCTCTCGGCGAGGCGCAGCCGCTGGAACGCATCCAGAGGGGCCAAAACTCGGGGGCGGCCAAGAGGGGGGTGTCCAAGAGGGGGGGGGTGCGAATCATGACCGGCGGCATGTGCGCGGCCCAGCGGGGGGGGCTGGGATGTAATGAAATACGATGAGGCGCCATGAAATCTGAGGAAAAATCATGGCCCCCGCCATGATATCCACCCCCCCTAGTCATCACCCCCCTCTTTTCCGCCCCCGAAAAACCGGCAAGGAACGACGAGACCTCCGGAAAACCTAGAACCTCGAAGTGGTGCAGACAAAGTGGTCGCCGGGTCTTCGCCCCGATGGACGAGCACAGGCAGTGCAGTATAGCTGATGCCATGGCGGGAACAGCTGCCAAGGCCCGCCGCCATCCTAAGCCGGGGCAGCAGCAAGCTCTGTTTTGCAAGAGCGGAGGGCCCAACTTTCCCTCTTCTCATCCTCACACGTCCTGGATGACTCTGGGAGGAAGTGCACGACCTACCACGGGTCCATCCTTTATAACACCCCCGAGCTAGGCTGCACATAGCGGATGGGTGGGTGTACCAGTTTCATGCCATGTGGTGTCACACCTAACTTGAGCTACTTAAGACTTGGTATTGTGCGTGCGGGTGCTTCGCCACTTCTCCAATGTCAATTGTGCAAGTTTGGCAAGGAATGTATTGGCCTCCCGTCGAACTACCCCCGATGGTGTGGAATATTTGGACCGGATCAGCCGAGGCTTATGGCCAAAGGTGTTCAGTACCACCGAGAAGAGGACTCGAGGCCGTCTCTAATTCAACAGTGTCTATCGTACGCGTCGCGTTAGCATATGCTGATTCAATCATTTGGCCACACTCATAGTCATCCGCCACCGTGCCGCTGGGCACGGAGTGGGCGTGTCCGCAGGTCCTCTCACTACCCCTCACAGCCGCAGTCCTCACTCCTGAGGAGTTCTCGAAGACGCCTGCGGCGAAACACCGCCGCCCCCTGCCCTTTTGGAAGCGCCTATGTGGCCGAACGTTGAGGCCAGACCTGCCAAGCTATCGGACCATGTGTTCCCCGAATCGGTTTGGAAAGCCTTCGGGGAACACGTGGACATCCTGAAGGTCATCTTGGCCGCCTGGAGGCCATTTTGACCCGTTCGGGCCTTCTTGGAGGGCATCTTGGAGGGCTCTTGGTCCGTCTTGCAGGCCATCTTGAGTGTCTTGGAGGCCCCTTGGGACGTCTTGGGGGCATCTTGGGGCCGTCTTGGGCCTCTTGGGCGATCTTTGGGGGCACTTGGGCCATCTCGGGCTGTCGGAAGGCCGACAAACAGCAATTGTCACAATCCTTCAAAAACCGAAATCCATGTTAGTGGCCTCTTCTGGCCTTCATGAAGGCACCCTTGGAGGGAGGCCTCTTGGGCCTTCTTGGGCCAGCTTCGGCCGTCTTGGTGGGCTCCTGGCCCGTCTGACGCCGTCGGAAGCCGTTTGGGGGGCTTCTCTGGGCCGTCTTGGAATGCTCCAAGGCAGTCTTGGAGGCCATCTTGGGCGTCTTAAAGGCCTCCCTGGCCGTCTTGGGGGACCCTTGGGGCCGTCTTGGGGGCCTTTTGGGCCGTTCTGGGGCCATCTTGGAGGCCTCTTGGGCGATCTTTGGGGGCTCTTGGGCCGTCTCGGGCCGTCGGAAGGCCGCAAAGAAGCAAGGGTGAAAACCCTTTGAAAACCGCAAGAAATCCATGTTAGTGGCCTATTCTGGCCTTCATGGAGGCCCTCTTGGAGGCCTCTTGGGCCGTCTTGGGCCAGCTTCGAGCCAACTTCGGCCATCTTGGTGGGCTCCTGGCCCGTCTGACGCCGTCGGAAGCCGTTTGGGGGGCCTCTCCAGGCCGACTTGGGGCCCTCTTGTGGTGCTCCAGGGCTGTCTTAGAGGCCATCTTGGGCGTCTTGGAGGCCTCTTGTGTCGTCTTTGTGTCTTCTTGGGGCCTTCTTTGGGGCCTCTTGGGCAGTCCTGAGGCCATCTTGGAGGCCTCTTGGGCGCTCTGGGGGCGATCTTGGGGGTCTCTTGGGCCGTCTTGGGTCGTCTGAAAGCCGAAAAGGAGCAAATACGAAAAACCTTGAAAAAACCTAAGGAAGATCAATGATTTTAGCCTCCTGGTGGACCTCTCGGAGGCCTCTTGGACCGTCTTGGAGGCCTCGTGGGCACCTCTTGGGCCGTCTTGGGCCGTCTTGAAGGTTTCTTGGGCGGACTTGGAAGCATCTCCTCCTCTCTTGGGCCGTCTTGGAGGCCGTCTTGGACCGTCTTGGAGGCCATCTTGGACCGTCTTGGAGGCCATCTTGGGCCAACGTGGCCATATTGGAGGCCATCTTGGGCCATCTTGGAGGATTTTTTTCTGGATTGGTCCTTGGCTATCTTTCCGGGTGGCCGGCGGAACGCGCCGGAGGCCCAGTGGGAGGGAACTCTTTTGGAAAAGAACCAAAACCATAACCGAGAGGGTTCAGCACGCCAATCACCCCTGTGATGAATCAACAGGGGGCGGCGGATCGAATGGCCTTCGGTCCGTCCCGCCACCGTGCCTGGGTATGAAGCATTGTTGATATTCGTTGGAATCTCGTGGGAGGCTTCTCCGGGGCCTCTTGGAGGCAGTTTGGACGCCTCTTGAGGGCCGTTTGAGGGCTTCGGGGCCTGGTCTGGGCCTCTCGGGGGCAACTTGGGGTTTCGTGGGCGCCTCCTGGGGCCGCCTGGGGGCCTCCTAGGGCGGAAAGCTCAAATTTTCGGGTCGGGTTCTTTCTTTTCGGCCCCTTTCGGTTCCGTCTTGGGGCCCTCTTGGGCCAGATTGGTCGCCCCTTGGGTTTTCTTGGGGCCCTCTTGGGCCGGTTTGGGGTCCTCTTGGAGGTCTGTTAGGCCGTCCTGGGAAGTCTTGAGGGCCTCTAGGGCCGCCTGGGAGCGTCGGGAAGCCGAAACGGCGAGAACGTCAAAACTTACCAAAACCTATGGGGAATCAATGGGTTTCGCCTATTGGGGCCCTCTTGGGGGGCCTCTTGGGAAGCATCTTTGGGGACTTGGAGACTACTTGGGCCGTCTGGGGGCCATCTTGAACGCATTGGAGCAACCGTCCAGCGACCCTGGGCCCTCCTGGGCCGTCTTGGGGACTTCTGGCCCCTGTCCCCCGCCCGTCCCCTAGATGCCTCCTAGATGGGGTCCGAGTTGAGGTCGACGGAGCTCGCCGCATCGCCGATGCATCGGCGATACATCGCCGATGCACCGGCGATGCGCTGGCGATGCACCGCCGACGTCGGCGACGCATCGGCGACGTCGGCCTGGAGAACAGCAAGCTCCGCATCGAGCCGCACCGCCGATGCATCGGCGATGCGGCGCGATCATCCGACCTCATCTACTCCGATCCCATCTGGGAGGCCAACGTCGTCCTCGCTCTGGTCCCTCCTTCCCTCGGCCCAGGCGGGGCGGTCGCGGGGGGGCCTGCGGGGGCAGACGCTTCAGCACCACCCGCTCGTCGAGCAGCCCGCAGCGGAGGCGCACCTCCATAGGAGCAGCGGGGGGAAGGAGATGATGATGCTGCTGATGATAACGAGGAGGATGGGGACGAGGATGAGGACGTGGATAACGATGACGATGATGAGGATGATGAGGATGGCGAGAAGGAGGAGGCGGAGAAGGATGAGGATGATGACGAGGGTGATGATGACGACGACGACGATGATGAGGAGGATGGGCTTGGTGATGAGGATGAGGACGATGCTGATGGTGACGATGCTGCGGATGATGATGATGATGATGATGATGATGATGATGAGTACGAATATGAGTATGAGTATGAGTATGATGAGGATGATGATGATGATGATGATGTTTGTCCCCTGCGAGCCCAAAAAGGTTTCTTCGGCCATTTCTACTCTGAGACTCCACAACCCCTCACGGGGTACTGAATGAGAGCGAAAGCACCATAAATGAAACGCTACACCGCCCAAGATGCCATAGACACCCAGGAAACCGAGGGAGCCGCCGAACAACCAGACCAGGTGCTGCATGGTACGACGGAGTCATTGACACCTAAGAAGAAGAACTGCCCGATCAACGAGAACACATCGCAGCACGAGGTCAGGAAGTGGAGTCGAAGAAAGCGGCCAAGTCATTGTCAGTATTGCTATTCGCGTCGACGGGAACATCATGTTGAAGACGATTCAATTCAGCGCGGCTCCTCTGTTCGGAGGCGCGTCAGTGCTGCTCGTGCGGATTAACCTCAGCGGCGGACTTCCACATCCAGTGCGGATACTCGGCGAATGCATCAAGCTTTTGCAGATCGGGGTCGCATTCGGAGAGCTCGATTTTAGTGGACACGAACGGCGAACGTCACTGCCAGTAAGCTTCAACGGGTATGCGAGAACCACGAAAAGCGAGATAGAGAATATCATCATCACCGCCAGGCTCCTCCACGCTGATAGGCGGAGGCCGCGGCCGAGTACGACAAGAGGCACCAGAAGGCCGACGAAGTTTACGAAAATTCTTCGAGTTTCTCGATGTTCTCACCAGCACGATCAAGCATGCCATTTGTGTCACGAGCACCTGCGCTAGCGAAGCCACCAGGGGAATGAAGCTCAGGGTCAACACGTTCATGTTCACTATCATCGTCATCGCGAGCAGCCTGATGCACAACGTGGGCAACATCTGGAAAGAAGACTGGCGCCGCCTTGTTGAACTGGAAAGGCGGAATCTCCGGCAACAGATGCACAACTGTACCGTCTGCCAGCGGTACCGCATCGCCATCACCATGTCGCCGCGGGGCTTTGCATGCACGATCGCCACTGCCTTGAGACGCAGCTGCAGCCCATGGGTCGCACCCCGGGTCGAGCCAAGGATCAGGAAGAGCGGGAGGAAGGACAACGCGACCGCGACGGCGACCGCGAGTACGATCGTCACCATCGTCATCGGGCCCTCCGTCGTCACCTCAATCATCAGCATGAGGTCGCGCTTCGGGCGGACGATCCGAACGAGGATAAAGCCAAATACACACCTGTTGACGACCATCACTATGACGATGTCCACGGTCCACAGCAGTGTGCTGTTGAGCCAGCCTCGATACGCCTGCTAACGTCTACAGGGCCACCGACTGTGACATGGTCGAGCAGCGGATGCCATCGGAGATGAACTCCAACTTGATCTTCGAACGGCCTGGGAGCGAGGAACAGCACGTCGAGACATGAAGATGCGCACCCTGGAGGACCCGTCGCCGATTCCACTCGGTCCGAGCAGCCACGACCATCGCAGAGGCAGCCCGCAACCGCCGCCGCAGTGAGCGCAGGTACGCTCGAGAAGCCCTCGAACAGGCAGGCGCCTGAGACAGAGAGCTATGATGATGATGATGATGATGATGATGATGATGATGATGATGATGATGATGATGATGATGAGGAGGGGGATGAGGATGGGGAGAAGAAGGAAGCGGAGGAGGATGAGGATTATGACGACGATGGTGATGATGACGACGATGACGATGATAATGAGGAGGATGGGGATGAGGATAAGAAGGAGGATGATGGTGATGATGATGCTGCTGATGATGATGATGAGTATGAGTACGATGATGATTGTGATTGTGGTGATGGTGGTGATGGTGGCGATGATGATGCTGATGATGCTGATGAGTGTGATGGTGGTGGTGAGTCTAAGGATGGTGATGACCCTACACATGAGACTGGAAGTGATCGTGATGATGCTGGTGATGATGACGACGAAGACGACAACTATGGCAAATATGACGATGTCGGCGATGACGACGACGATGATGAGAATGAGGATGATGCTGATGATAACGATGATGAGGATGATGATGAGGCATGATATTATTGTGATAATGATCGTGATGAGGATGATAATGCTGATGAGGATGAGGATGCTGATGAGGACGATGATTGTGATGGTGGTGGTGACGATGATGATGGTGGTGGCGGTGATGTTGATGTTGATGACGATGGGGGGGCTCGAACTTCGATGTCGTTTGGGCGCCTGTCGCTCTTTGTGGGCCTCTGGGGGACTCGTCGTCGCCGCGGCCGAGTAGCTTCGAACTTCTGGCCAGAACGCGCCGCTGGAGAGGTCCGGAAGCTGACGATTGACGCCCCGCCAAGGGCTCCTCGCTTAGGGCCGGACGATATGAGATAACCTTCGGCCTCCAAAGGCACCGTCAAGCCAAGAAAGGTCGAGATGAGGAACCAGCCTCGGAGAAGGAGCCAGGGCCCACAGCAGTACAGAAGTCATGCACCAGTCCTTAGCACGGCGCTTGGGCACATCATCGAACAAGGACCTTACTTCGTAGCCACCACCAAAACCAAAGGAATCGGGGACCTGCAAAACCAAGGGAACCGGACAGAAGGAGCTGGACAGGAGGGCAGGGATAGTCTGTCTCCAACTCTCACTGCAGTGATCCCTACACGCACTGCAATAGTGTATACGCGCGCACCAGCAAGACAGTGAAGGAGAGGAGGACCGAATGGGAATAACTGGAGGAGTATAGACGTTCGGAGGGCCGCGCGGATTTCCTAGATCGGCGCTGGAACGCTCTTGCAACGCCTCCGACGCCGCCACTGGCGCGCTCCGCGCGCCAGGGAAGGGGCGTTCAAGAGTCCAGCACCGATCCAAGATGTCCGCGTCGGACCTCCGAGCGTGTGACTCTGCCGCTTTTGCTTCTCTGGATGCCTCCGAGATGGTGTCCGAGCAGACGAGGTCGGAGGATCGCGCCGCATTGCCGATGCATTGCCTACGCATCGCCAATACATCGGAGATGCACCAGCGACGTCGCCACTGCATCGGCGACGTCGGCGTGGCGAACATTGGGCTCCATCGCGGGCTGCATCGCTGATGAATCGGCGATTCGAAGTGCTCCTCCGACCCCATCTGCTCGGACCCCGTCTGAGAGGCCTACGTCGGCTACACGCAAGAGTGAACCCAAGCAAGAATGACCTTTGATGCGCGGCTGTACGGGGGACGCGGGGTGGCCGAACCTGGGCGCGAGAGCCGCTGCTACCGCGTCGCGTTCAGCGATCAGGGGACCCCTTCGGGCCCGCACCAAGGGTCACTCCGGCGAGAGGTAACTTTTACGCGTAGTCGACTAGATGATCCGAGAGAGGAGGGGGAGAGACGAGGTCGAGACGCCGAACTGCTGGCCCATCACCCGCCCAGCTCGATCTGCGGTCTTTCCAAACTGGTGCTCCCGCTGCACCACTGGCTCCATCTCTACGCTCTGGTTTCTCGACAGTGAATGTCCCGCTGCAGGGTTGACCTCATGCCGCGCGTTTGCTACTTGCATGCAGTGCTCCCGCTGCGGCGCTCGACTCATTGTTGCGCTTTGTCCGTCTCGAGAAGTGCTCCCGCAGCATCGCTGGCGCCATTTCCGCATCTTCCGCTGTTGACAACGGTGCCCCCGCTACAACATTGGCATCAATTCCACATGGTCTGTCCTGCAACATTGGCGCTTCCGTCTACAGCGTGGGCTTCCACGTCTGAAGTGCCGAACCTTGACAAGGGTGCTCTGGCTCCGACTTTGCATGCCTGACTTGCCCTGGAACCTCCGTCCGGCAGACTGGCATCAGGTCGGGCATGTCCGCCTGCAGGCGGACTCTGGAAGAACAGTTGAAAATAGTCAAGAATACTCGAAATAGCCAAAATTAGTAAGGAACAGAAGGTCCCCATACTATTGTCTGACTCATTTGTTAATACTCCTCCTGTAGAGGGACATGCCATGCCCGACTGAAAAAACTGGCACTCTGACGCGAAGGCCGTGCTTTTGCGTCAACATGTGGCTCGCGCCCCCCCAGCCCTGGTCCCTGCGCGTTGGCCCCTCAAGTTGGAACCCCTGCTGCAACGCCGGCCTCGTCTTCCAGTCGCCACGGAGCCTCCGTCCAGTGTCATGGCGATCTCGCTGCAGCGCTGGCAGCGCTGCTGAATCGGCATTGGCTCACGTCTCCCCGCCCAGGTTCCTTTGCAATGCCACACCATGTAACTTACGCCATGCTACGATAGGTCGGGCATGCCCTCCTACAGACGGGAGGAATACAACACAGGCAAACACATCCAGACCTAGCCAAACATAGTAGAACAATCGTCCCCGGACTTTTGTTTGACTATTTGAAATATTCCTCCTGTAGAGGGACATGCCCGACTTAATGATACGCTCTGCCAGGCTCTCCTACGCCGTGCCATGGCATGCCATGCTGCGCGGCGAGCGCACTCTCGGGACCAGCACCTCGTTCCGCACCGACCGTGCGAGCACACAGAGGGGCCCTGCGCAATGGTCAGGGATGAGAGGGATGGGCTAATGGGCCTGTTTTCCACCACCACCACCACCACCATAAGTTGGAGGGAGAGGGGGTCCTCCACCTCCTCCTCCTCCTCTTCGTCCTCTTCCTCCACTCCCCTCCAACTTATGGTGGTGGTGGTGGTGAAAAACTGGGCAACACTTCTGAGATGACGCGAGCGCGCCCAGCGTGCCTCGGCCCCCCCTGCCCCCCCTCGACACCGCTCGGGCGTCCGTTCCCCCGTGCATGTCCCGCTTTCGTGTGTGTGTGTGTGCTTTTGCTGCTCGATGCTCCAGGATGCTCCAGGATGCTCCTCGATGGTTCTCGCCGAGAACAAAACCACACGCCCCAGCGATGCCAAGCTCCTCCCTCCTCCTCTCGGGCCGGGCGAAAGGGAGGGATAGCAAAGGGGGGGGGGTGAGAATCAACTCACGTACACGCTGATTTTCCCAGCGCCTCCCGGCGCCGGGAGGCGCCCACGTATCGAGGAATGGGCCCGGCGGCGGGGCCCAAACCAGCTGCACGCAGCAGATTTCGTAACCCCCCCTTTCCCTATTCCCCCCCTTTCGTTCGGGCCGATCCTCGCCACCGTCGCCGTCGCCGTCGCCGCCGCCGCCGCCGCCGGCATCGCCGCGACCGCCGTCGCCGCCGTTGGGGCCGTCGCCGTCGAGCCTCGGGAGGGCCGCCGCTGGAGGCGCGCGCAGGCCGGGCCCGCCCGCCGCGCGCGCGCGCGCCTTGCTGCCGCCGACGCCGAGCAGGGGCAGGAAGGCCAGCGCGGCGGGGTCAACGGCCTGGCCCGGTGGCCGCGGCGGCGGCCCACGGGCGAGGCCGCGGGCGAGGGCGACGGTGGCGACGGCGGCAGGCTGGCGGCGGCCAGCGCCGCGGCGGACGGCCGGCAGGGTGCGGCCTGGGGAGGCCCAGGGCGAGGGCAGCGGCGAGGAGGGGGGGCGGGAGCGAATGGGCTCGGCCTTGCTGGGCCTGTGCGATGTATTTATTGCACAGGGGCAGACGTATGGCTTTCAGACGTTTGCGAGTAGGCACTTTGCTAGTAGTGGAACGCGCTCGGCGACTGTGGCCAGGGGGGAGGAGGAGGCGGCTGGGCGCCAACGATGGATTCCCCGCGTCCCCACCACTGCCGCCGGCGCCGCCACCACCAGCGTTACCACCAGCGCCGCAGTCAGCATCGCCACGAGCGCCGTCGCCGTCGCCGCCACAAACGTTAAAGAGAAAAAACGCAATCAACTTACACTTTTGGCGCTCCGCGCGGATTTCTTGGATCTGTGCTGAACCCCTTCCCTGGCGCGCGGAGCGCGCCAGTGGCGGCGCAGGAGGCGCCGCCGGGGGGGGGCCCAGCGCAGATCCAAGAGATCCGCGAGGAGCACCAAATGTTCATGCTTAAGGTATTTGTTCTTCTCCGAAGCGTGGCAATCGCCGCCGGGGCCGCCGCCGCCACCGCCGCAGACACCGTCGCCGCTCCAGCAGCTGCCGTCGTCGCCGCCGCCGCTGCCGACACAGACACGCGGCCGCACAGCTGCGGTCGGTCGGGCCGCGAGGGCGCCGCAGGCCAGCTCCTCGGCGAGGCAGGAGGCGTCCAGCGCGCGCGTGCCGGCAGGCGCGCCTCGGGAGGAGCACGCGCCAGGGAGGTCGTCGTCGTCGTGGTCGTGGTCGTGGTAGCAGTCGTCGCGGTCGTCGACATCGTCGTCGTCGTCGTCGTCGACGTGGTCGTCGTTGTGCTCCTCGTCGTGGTCGTCGCGGTCGTCACGGTTGTACTGCTCGTCGACGTCGTGTTCGCCGTGGACGGCACGGCGGTCGTGATGTTTGTCGTCGTCGTTGTGGCCGAACTCACAGTCGTCGTCGACGTTGTCGTGCCTTTTTTGACGTAACCTTGCAAATCCAAGTTCGTCGAAAATAAACAGCCGGGACCCTCCTGGCCACCGTCCAAGAGAAAACCTCTCGAGCAGCGCACCGCCGTAACCGCAACCCCCCGGGAGGCCCACCAAACGGCAACGCAACAAGAGCGTGAAACTCCTCTCTCCGCCCCCATATCCTGGTGTTCCTCATCCAACTCTTCCTCCTCCTTCTCATCCTCCTCATCCTCCTCCTCCTGTTTCTCCCCTTTCCAACTCCTCCCCTTCTCCGTAGGACTAAGGTCGGTAAGGTGTACCGCAATGCTTACGAAAAGGCATGCAAGACGAAAGCGGCGTGACGTAAGACGTGCGAAGTCAACCGAAGAACGGCGAGGGTCCGAGATAATCATTAGTGTGTGAGCAAGTGTAAGCAATCATGGGCCTTGCTTTTGGATGATGCAGATGCTGCGGACGTGTACGATCTAAGCCAGCAAAGCTGGCAATAGCGTATGGTCAGTGACGCATGCCAGTAAACATAGTAAGGCATCAAACAATTAAGCAGCAGCCGCGCGGTAAAGAGAAAGGCAAGGGTGGGCTTCAAACGAGGGGGCGCCCATGCGAGCAAACATGACAATCAAGATTGCAGCGCTGCGCTTTGATTCAGGGATGGGAAAGACAATCAGAGGCAATGTCGCTCCTACTCCTCCCCCACCTCCCTCCTTCAACGCCTCATCAACGTCGTCTTCCTCCTGATCCTTCTCCACCGGCCAAATTGCGCAAATTCGGTTCCTGGACTCCTGCAGCCTTTTTCTTCCCACCACGATTTGACTGTCCAGAGTTAGGTCGGGCCTGTCCCCCTACAGGGGGATTTTGGACGAACACTAAAAACACTAAATACACAAAAAAAACAACAAATTGTAAAACAACGGTCACCGACCATGTTTTGACTATTTTCGAACATTCCCCCTGTAGAGGGACAGGCCCGACGTAAGTCCAGGGGCCCGAAGATGGACTCACCGAGGCCGGAACAGAGGAGGAACCCGTCGTCGATCCTTCCTCACCGAATCTCGAGCCTGGACCACCCTCCTCCACGTCTCCGTCTGTCCTCGATCGCTGACCCTCGATGCTCGTCCTCCTCGGCGCTCGTCGACGAACGATCCTCGATGTTCGACCCCTGACTTGGTAATCCCCAAACGTGGTGGTGACAACACCTGGCGGTGAGTCTCGGGCGATTTGGTGTCACCACCCGGTTTGGGGACTCATGCGCTTGTTCGACGATGTCACAAGACCCGGCGGTGAGCCCGTGTCCCAAAACCCGGGGGTGACTTTTTGGGGACTCCAGGTCACCACCTGATATCTCACCACCCGGTTTGGGGGTTCCCAACTGATCGCCACTCTTGGGCGTGGCTTCATGGGGGGGTCCTAGATGGGGGGGTCAGAAAAGGTCCCCTTTCGCCCCTTTCGGGCCCCTCCAGAGCCCCATGGGGGCTCGTTTAGGTACCGTTTGGGTACCCTTTCGAACCACCCTCGCCACCCCCCCATTTATGACCCCCCATTACGCGGCGCCCAACACTCCACGATCGTCGAACCCCGGTCCACGGTGCTCGATCCTCGAGCTTCGACCCCGCTCCTCGACGCGCGGTCCTCGGCCCTCGGCCTCGGTCTCCCCATCGCTGTCGTCGCCCTCCTTGTCGTCGTCCTCCTCGTCACTCGTCGACGGACGATCCTCGATGTGCGACCCCTGACCGCCACTCCACGATCGTCGAACCCCGGTCCACGGTGCCCGCTCCTCGAGCTTCGGCCCCGACCCTCGACGCGCGGTCCTCGGCCCTCCGGCCTCGGTCTCCTCCTCGCCGTCGCCGCCCTCCTCGTCTGCCTACCTACCAGACCACCCCAACCCAACCCGAAGACCCGAATTTCGGGTTGGGGGGGGTAAGGGTTCCACATGTGTTTTTTCGATGTTTTCCGACCCCCCCCCCCCACTGGAAATCGAGGGTAAATCTGAGCCCTCGGGTTGGGTTGGGGTGGTTTGGTGGGTGGTGATCGTCGTCGTCGTCCTCGTCGCCCCCGCCGCCAGCGCCCCCGCCGCCGCCGACGTCCTCGCCGCCGCCGTCGTCGTCCTCCTCGCCGCCCCCGCCGTCGTCGCCCGCGCCGTCGTCGTCCTCCTCGTCGCCCCCGCCGTCGTCTCCTCCTCCTCCTCGTCGTCCTCCTCGCCGGCCCCGCCGCCGCCGACGTCCTCGCCGCCGTCGACGTCCTCGCCGCCGCCGGCGTCCACGCTGTGGTCGCACTTCGCAGCGGCTTCGCCGCCCCTCGATCGTCGATCCCCGAAGCCCCCATCGTCGACCACTCGATCCTCGATCGTCAAGCCCTCGGTCGTCGATCCTCCTACATCGGGGATCTCTGATCCTCGATCGTGGAATCCTCGATCGTCAGATCCTCGACCCTCGCATGCTCGATCCACGACGGTCGACTCCCCCAGGGAGCCCACGAAAGACGTACGCGCCCAGCCACGTAAACACGGCCCCCAGCGCGCGAGACCAACCTCGTGATACGAGCGTTCGCGCACGGCGCACTTTCGAAACCAGCGTGGACTCATGTGTACGTGCAATTACGTCCTTCTCTCGCTCCTGAGATTCTCGATCATCCAACCCTCAATCCTCGCTCCTCCCTCGGGCGTTGGCAGAACTGGGTTTAGTGGGACCTGGTTTACTAATGATGTGTACTGGGGGACGCCCCCCCCGCCCCATTCCACTAATCGGAACTGCCGTCACCCGAAAAAACACCAGCTACGGCAGACCTGGTTTAGTGACTCTGGCTCGTTTAGGGGCTCCGGGGCCCTACTACTAACCGGGTCCCCTTACCTGGGGTCCTGGATATACCCGACTCCGATCCTCCATCGGCGAATCCTCGATCGTCGAATTCTTGATCGTCGAATCCTCCATCCTCGAATCCTCGATCGTCGAATTCCCGATCCCCGAACCCCCGCACCCTCGATCCTCGCATGGTCGATCCTCGCATGCTCGCTCGATCCTCGACCCTCGCACCCTCGACCCCAGGTTTCATGTGTACCAATAGCTTCTGCAGCATCGGTAAGATTAGTCTAGAAGCTCGTGAGGCCTGAGATCGGCCTGCTGCTCGAACTGTGACCGAAACACTACTCACACTCCGTAAATGTCTGAGGTACAAATTCGGCTGTTCGGCTCTATCTCGACAAGAAGAGCACGATCCGCCATCGTCGACATGAAGAGCTCGATTCGGCTACACGCAAGAGTGATCCTGGGTAAGAGAGTGACCTTTGGTGCGCGACTTTTGGGGGGCCGCGGGGGGGACCAAACCTGGGTGCGCAAGCAGCTGCAACTGCTTCGTTTTGCCAGCCGTCTGGGCACCCCTCCGTGTCCGCCGTCCTGTATTTCAGTTCGCTCCTGAGCAAGAGTAGCCAGACCAACCAGACCAGACCAGACCAACCAGACCAGACCAATGAACGAGACCAGACCAACCAGACCATACCTAAGCTAAGGCTGCAAGACGAAACTCAAACCCGACCAAGGAAAGGTCGCTCGGTAACTCGGGTCCGAGTTATCCGGGGTAACTCGGGTCCGGGGTAACTCGGGTTTGGGTTCCCGAAAAAGGAACCCGAATTATCCCTGACCCGAGTTACCCCTGATGATTCGGGGCTCTGGACGCCCGAGTTATCCGGGGTAACTCGGGTCCGGGGTAACTCGGGTTTGGATTCCCGAAAAGCGAACCCGAGTTATCCCTGACCCGAGTTACCCCTGATGATTCGGGGCTCTGAGAAAGGTCGCTCCTACGCCTAGTCGATCCATCTGCGGCGCGCCTGCAGCCGCTGGGCCGCAGCCGGCCCACCCCTGGCCGGGCGCGCCGGCGTCGGGCCCCAGGCCTGCGCCCGCGGAGGCGCCGCCGCCCTCCCCCGGCCTGCTCCCGACGGCGGCGACGACGACGACGGCGGCAAAGACGACGACGACGGCGGCGGCGGCGACGACGACGACGGCAACGACGACGACGACGACGGCGGCAAAGACGACGACGACGGCGGCGGCGGCGACGACGACGACGGCGACGACGACGACGACGACGACGGCGGCGGCGGCGGCGGCGGGGCTTCGTGGAGGGATGGTTCTCGGCCACGCGCAGGGGGAGGGGCAGGGGGCGGCGGCGGCAGCGGCGGCGGGGCTTCGTGGAGGGCTTGTCTCGGCCGAGCGCAGGAGGGGGGCAGGGGGAGGCCCCCCCGGGGGGAGGGGGGCAGGCTTCTTAGGAGCACCCCCTGCTTCTTAGAAGGCGCTCGATTCGCTGGCTCGGGGAATTCGGCGATCGAGGACTCGAGGATTCGGGGATCAGGGACCCGAGGATCGAGGACTCGACGACCGAGGATCGAGGATTCGACGTGGGAGGCGTCGGCCACGCGCCAAGGGGGGGCCGGGGGGCAGGGGGGAAGGCTGCTTAGAGGCACCCGATGCTTCTGAGAAGGCGCGGGCCTTGTCTGCAGATGTGAGACAGCGCCTTCCTCGTGAAGGGCTTGACGACCTCTGACGTCCCTCGGCTCGCGCTGAAGCGGTCGCGGTGTGCTCCAGCTTGCCCTTGAGATACCCGGATTGCCCAGATTGACGTGGACTCACCTCGATGTGCCTGCATCTGCCTGTCTTTCTCTGGCTCGACCCCCACCAGTCGATCGGCGAAACGTTGGCAAGGAAGGACACCTGAGGAGCAACCTCCCTCTGAGAAGCCTTCCCCCCTCCCCCTGCCCCCCTCTGCGCGCCGCCCGTCGTTGGCCCAAGGTCGCAGGAGGGCCCATAATCGAATCGAAAAGTCGGATCGGCGATCGACATGAATTGCATCGGCGGACATCGGCAGCCAAGTCGGGGGGAAAACGAACCGGCAAAAATCGTAAGGTTCGTCGGCCTCCACTGAGGAATCGCAATCCAAATCGGAATCGCCGATCCGACTTTTCGATTCGATTCTGGGCTCTCCTGCGACCTTGGGCCCATATGATAAAACAAGAAATCTCCGCCAGAACTGTTCTAAGAACACCTCGTGGGAGCCACAAAAAAATTTCTCTGAACACTGTTTGGTAGGGCTATCAGCGAGCCAGGACGCTTCGCCACTGCTTGACCCCTCTCGCTCGTCGTCGTGGCCCTCCCCGACGCCCTCGTCGTCGGCGCCGCCGCCGCCGCCGCCGTCGCTGTCGCCGCCCCACCGGCGGGCCAGGCGGTGCCGATGCTGGCGGCGTCCGTCGCTGGCCGCCGCGCCGGGCCGGCGGGGGCTGCCGCCGGGCGGACCTGCGGGCGCCGCCGTCGTCACCGCGGTCGGCGGTCGTCGGTGGCGGGGCGCTCGTCGTCGTCGTCGTCGTCGTCGTCGTCGTCGTCGTCGTCGTCGTCGTCGTCGTCTACGCCAGGGTCGACGTCGTCGTCGTTGCCGTCGTCGCCGGCGGCGGCAAGGATGTCGTCGTCGCGGTCGGTCGTCGGTCGTTGTCTTCGTCGTCCTTGCCGACGTCGTCTTCGTCGTCGTCGCTGCCGTCGGCGGCGACGTTGTCGTGGTGGGTCGTAGTCTCCGTCGGTCGGCGGTCGTCGTCGTCGTCTTCGCTATCGTCGGGGTGCGGAGGGGGCGGGGGGGGGGGCGGAGGAAAGAGAGCACCAGAGGAGCAGGGAGAGGGGCACGCATCCTGCACAACCTGGTTGCCATTCGCACGTGTTACTCGACTACGAGCGCGACGGGGCGGGCGTGCGTCGGCCAGCCGACACTGAGGCTGCGAGTTTTCGCTCTGCGGCGTGCCCGAGAAAAAGGGGACATGCGAGAAAGACGGGAAGCGGGGGAGAGAGAGAGAGAGAGAGAGAGAGAGAGAGAGAGAGAGAGAGAGAGCGAGACGGGGAAAAGGGGCCAGGTCCTGGCCCTGCCTCGCCACATTTCGTCTGCCCTTTGTTCTCGTGCACGGGCTCCGCTCGTTCGCTCTGCTCCTTTCCTCCTCCTCCTCAGGAGAGCCCAGAATCGAATCGATAACTCGGATCGGCGATCGAAATGAATCGGATCGGCAGAAATCGGCGGCCGATGTCCGCTGAGCATCGGTATCACGATGATCGAGTTAGGGGCTAGGATGGATGTGGGGGAAAGAGAGAAAACGAGGGGGGCGCCCTTTTGCTCACACACACGCACTTGAGCCATTACAGTTGTGGTCACGAGCTCAGAGGGTGGCGTGCTGAGGATATGTGCGACAGCACCCCAAAATTTAGCACCCTCTGAGCTCCCCCTAACGGCGAGGAATGATTAAAATGGCGGGTACTCGGCCGATCTCGATCGAACGATCAGGGCCTGGGCCCCGGAAGGGGCACTGGCAGACATAATCCTGGAGGTGGTTCCACGGGGCCAGTCCTGCGGGCCGCTGCGCTCCTCTCTGCGCCGGCCGGCCGGTCGTTCAAGTCGTTCACGACCAAAGTCTTCTCCTCCTCTCCTGTGTCGCCTCCTCCTTCCCCTCCTGTGTCGCCTCCTCCTCTTCCTCCAGTGACCTCGACCTCCTCCCTCTCGCCCTCCTCGGACCTCCTCAAACTCTTCTCCTGCTCTTCCTCCAGGGCCCTCCGGGATGCCACCCTGCTTCTGGACTTCATTGCTAGATTGAGCGAGCGCTCGTCAAGCACGCCGCTCTCGTCCTTAGGAATCAGAGTTCCTCGAGCGATAACGTCGGACAGGGCCAGGTTGGCCTTCTGAGGGTCGACGTGAGTCAGGCAGTCCGCGGGCATACGACAGTGCGGGATCCACCGAATGACCCCGCCCTCCCGGGACATCGTGTCCCGTACGATCGACATCTCGATGGCGTTCCCCCTGTCGGCCTTCCCCCCCCCCCCAGTGTTCTTGGAGAGAGTGTCAAACAGTGACTTGGCATCAACAACTGACAACCCCTCCGCGGCCTTGTGAATTTCACAGTTCTCTGGGAGGGCAACAGCAAAGGGCACGTCTTCTCGCCGCCACTCAGGTCCGCGCACATCGTTGAAGACGATGTCCCGAAAACACAGGTAAACCCACTGGGCTTCGGCGAGCGCCCCTGACAGACTGAGGGTTTCCGCCGAGAGGGTCGAAGAAACTACTCGCTTCAGCCTCTGGGATCTCCAGGCCAGGATCGACACTCTGGCACGACGGTTGTCACGCACCTGGGGTTCCCCCATCATGACCAGCCACCCTCCCTGGGCCCCGTTGTTCTTGGCCGAGCCGGGCCCTCCCGCATCCGAGCAGGTCACCATGGTGACCGAGGGAAGGTCCAGGGGCCAAATGGTGATGCGCACTTTGGCCGTACTCCTCAAGTATATGGTCACCTTGTTGGCTAAAAGAAGATGCTTGACTCGAACGTGAGGACACTCTGAGGCGAGAAGGGAAGCCGAGCCTGAAACCTCTGGTCGAGACTGTCTCGCAGTCCACTGAAGCTTGGCGGCGATCCCTCGATAGTCGCGCAATTCCTGCGGGGTCAGAAAGTCTTCGGGGCAGGCTGAACGGTCCCGGGACACCTTGACGGGATGCACCTGCTCAAGAATGTACTTCTCCTTATCAATGAGAATCCTGCCGTCTGGAAGCTGGCGAATGCGCCTGCCCGCGCACTCTGCTTCTCGCTCCTGCCACTTGCCAAAATGGAAGCGAGCCATCAGAGACTGCTTCAACTCGGCCTCGTACGCAGGCTCACTCCCCAGGAACAGGTCATCCACTTCAATAACCACCAGAGCCTGCAGGGCCCCATCAGCACGATATTTGCGCCAGACACACGGCTCGAGCAGGCAACGCCGAAACCCAATAGAGAACAAATGAGAGGTGAGCGTCTCGTGCCAGCGAATCGGGGCGTCGTTGAGCCCGTAAACGGGCGAGACGAGTTCGACGAGGCTACCTCGAGGCAGCTCCAGACCGTCGCGCGGCTCACAGTGCACCTTGCCGGCGGGCCTCGTGAGAGGGTCCGCCTGGCAGAAAGCATTTTTTCGCGTCCGCGAAGAACACCTTCCACCGCTTCCCGGCAATCACCTGAAGGGCAACGGCTATGGACTCCTCTTGGGGGGTGGGGGCGTAAACGGCCAGGCTTTCGGCGTCGGGGTCACCGTATCCCCGAACGCACCAGCGCGACTTGGGGATGGGGAGAGTCTCAGCCCCCTCCTGAGGCTTCCAGCGGCGCACCATCCTGGAGGAAAGGATCCGCGACGGCGAGCGCCTACGAACGAGATTCGCCAGCTCGGGGGAAAGAATCCGAACAGCCTTGGAGTCTAGAATGGCCCGCCACTCCTTCGCGTCTGAGACTTTGAACTGATCACGCTCCTGCTGGGACAGCTTGCTCCAGACGGCTTCCTGGCCCCTCTTGCTTCCGCCGCTTCCGGGACCTCCGCCGGCCATACCGGTGGCCCACGCGCCGTCTCCCCAGGATTCGGCCTCGCCGACCAGCTCATGCCAAAGGGGCAAATCCTGCTCATCGATATCGCCCGACTCCAGGTCCTTGCCCATCGGGATCCAAGACACAGATGGTATAAATCCTCCTGACTCCCCCCCTTATCTGACTGTACTGCGAGAGTGTCGGGCACCGGAGCCGGCCCGCCGGGTCTGTCTCCCTGCTCCCAGCGCCGGATCCTTTCGGTGACCGAAGAGTCCGCCAGCTCCTCAGTGGGAGCTCGTCCGCCGGCCCCCCCGGCGGGGGCAGGTCCACCGGCCCCTTCGTAGGACCCCCTGGCTCGCGCAGCTCTCGGCATTGAGACGGAACGCAGCGGCTTGCCTCTCCACGCGACCGCCCTGGGCTGGTCCTCGACGTCCTCGCGAACTGGACTCAAGCCACGTCGCCTGGAAAGGGGTGGCTCGCTCTCGGCAGCTGGAGCTTCTCGGGGAAGCTTGACTCGATCAGAACTCTCGAACTCTTGCCGCATCAGAGTCTCTGCTTGATCCGTCACCGAGGGGGGGCCGGAGGCGGCGCCCTCCCTAGGGCAAGAGGAAGGAGCAGTGGGCGGGCAGGAAGACGGCGATGCCTCCGGACGCTCTCCGATGCCCACGGGTCCGTCCGACGGGGTCCGCGGAAGGTCGGCGCCGTCTCCGCTCGACCCGAGGCCTTCGGCGTGTGGATGATCCGAGACCGACTGCCCACCGCCCTCGTCAGAAGCTGGCCGAGACGGATCCAGGCAGCGACATTCGCTCACGGACGAAGGTGGCACAAGAACGGGGTCTGGCGACTGCGGCGCAGACTCGGGAGGAGAGTCCCAGGCCTCCTCGGGGGGGGCCCCCTCGCTCTCGACGTCGAGCGCTCCCACCTTGCGGCCGGGGTCTCTCACCTGCTCTCGTAAATCACGAAATTCGGGACTGTCGATCAGTTCTGCCCCGAGAGATTCGGCGCGAGTGGCCTCCCTCACCTGTTCCACACTGCACTTCCACAGCTTGGTGCGCATCGCCACCCACACCGTGGACCCTCGATGGGTCACGACGGCCCCGGGACCCACCCATCGATCTCTCTGGATCGAATGGGCATTCAAACCCACCGCTTTCCGCCAAACGAAAACCCACTGCCCCGGGAGAAAGATCCGGTCCACGTGCTGACGCGAACGTGCAGCCTCCTTGAGCCGCGACTGGGCCTCACCGGCCATCAGGGCCTTGCGAGCCTCTTCTCGAATGCGATGCTTGCGAGCGAAGTTGCCTGCCACCGTATCCCGACCGTCGACGTCGGCCTGGACGTCCTCCGTCCCGATAGCGTCCATGCCGTCGTCACTTAGCATGGCCCTGGGCAGCCTGGGATTCTCTCCCAGCACCAGCTGATACGGCGAGAAACCCGACCTGTGGAAGTATCAGTTCTTGGCGGAGACGGTTTCACACAAGATCAGATCGACCTCCTCTGGCGTAGTCGGATTCACGATCAGCGAGGCACGAGCGACCGACTCCTTGATCCACCCCCCGTGACGCTCGCACCTCCCGTTCTGCCACGGGCTCGTAGCGTCGCAGACGTGCTGGAAACACCCGAGGTGTTCACAGCCTCGCTCGAAGGCTCCTTGGAATTCGGGACCTCCGTCGCTCATGACGACCTCCGGAGGTCCGAAGACTCGAATCCAGGTCTTTTCGAACGCCGCCCAGACGTTGGCAGACGAGGTACCGCGATGCATCGGCAGAACGTAGCATTGCTGGAAACTCGTGCCATGATCGAGCACGTTAAGCACCGGAACCTGGGAGCCCAAGGCGCTCAAGTAGAACAGGTCCACAGCAACCAGACGGTTGAAGTGGTACGTGCGTGGGGCTGCAGCTTTTCGTCTCCAGGAGGGTTTCTTGTTGCCTTCGCAGGCCTCACACT